CTGCTGATTTTACAAGCATCCTTCAGAACTTCCCTCTGTCTTTTTTTATATTGCATCTCTTTGAATCCTGGGTCAAAGTCTGAGTCCTATCCCTGCAATCGCCCCTGGTTTCTTGGCCAGGCTAGCACGGGGAAGAGTTCAGGCTCAGAGCAAAAGAGTGGTGGAGCTAAGAGCACACTGTGAGGTGTTCAATTCTCTGAACCATGCTCTTTCCACTGGGCCTTCCTGTCTCTCTCATAATCCCTCTACTTACTTCTGGAGTCAATAATTAAGATAATTATATGGTAACCTGATATAATAAGTAGCCACTAAATCAAACCATACATCAACAAATAATATAACACTGAATTATGGGAGCTTTGATTTGCTCTTTCAAATAGCTTCCATACCTTCAGGGGATTAGCAGTTCAGACAACAAAACGAAGGCGTAAACTCAGCTGATTTTACTTAGAAGAAAATGCCATTTGCTTACCTAAAGAAAAAGGGGTCAGTCAAGTGGCAGCAGTGTGAACTCTGCTATTGTGAGCACGACAGACACCTCACTCATTTCCTGCATCCGATGCAACTTAATTATTGGCACTTCCAAGCTTTTAGTATCAAAGTAGCTGGACCTAATTTAGCAGTTGTTTGCAGGGTCTGACCTACAGCTGCGTAAAGTACACACCAGCCAAGCATCTTTGTTTAAGAAGGACAGTTCGTTGCTTTTTTTCCCTTTTCAAGGAAAATATTTTCCATTTGTTTTTCCACTCCCTCTCTTAAAAATATGTCTTTAGCCAAGCACATTTCAAAGGAACGTAAATATGCTTTTCTCCCTAAAAGTCCCTATTTATATCCACCAGCTGCTGGCAGGTTTGCTGGGATGGGGGTTGTTGTGCAAACATGCCACTTTAACCCCCTGCAAAAAACATTGCCCAAATTGCCTTGTACTCGAGATGGGGTGGGGCTTTTTCACTAAGAAAGAGACTCTTCTCTGTAACAAGTAGAGATGGGGAGGGAGGGGGAGAAAGACATTGCATATAATAAACCACCCTATACCTTAATTTTGCAGCTACTGCTTTGCACAGCAGTTTTTCTTATGCTTTGCACAGCCCTGAAGTGTCTTTCCCTGTCAATGTGGGAGTGAAATGGCCAGGTAGCATCTTGTGGCACTTCTCTCCATGCATGTTTCCCCAGTTGGATTTACAGAGGTGTGGTGGAACATCCTCACCTATCCCAGCCCATTCAATCACTTCTGAGGTCCAGAATCATGTAGTTTGGCCACACGCTCTCCTTTATGACTGACAGAAAATTGCAGGTCTCCATTCCTTAGAAAAAGATGGGAAATTAATTCCTCATCCCACGGAGTACCCTGAGGTGAAATACAAGCAGTGATTATAAAATTGCCTGTGTGCTACAAGGATGACGCGTTTTAATCCCCATATAAATTCCAACAGATAGAACTACCTTCAGATCCACCTCTGCTTTTCAGTGCTGGTTTTAGCGATTTCTAGGCAGGCAAGCCTATTTTTTACCACCACCCTCAGCTAACTTTTAATTCTTCAATGAACAGCAACAGAATCCAAGTGCTGACAGGAGTGGTCTGGCTGATCACTCTGCTGCAGTTTGAGATGTTACTGTTCCCAGTTGCTCGCTCTTCTTTGCTGGCTGTGGTTAGCATCACCACAGCCAAGTCAGCAGAAGGGAACATATGCCTGCACCTCAGTCACTTCCACACAACGTCCAGCACGAACCCATCTTCAGTGACAGTTTCAGATGAGATACCAACTTTTCCCCAAAGTAGATGATGAGTGAGGCACAGATTATCCTCCTCTACTGCCTCTGTTTTGGGAATGGTAATCCGAAGTACACACCAGTGAATAAGAGATTTCCACTTATCCTATTGGTCATGGTCTAGTGGTGCTCAGCATCCACAAATGACAGAAACCAGAGGAAATTTTGTGTGGCTGACAGTGTGACGTGCAGCTGAAATCAATTTGGAAGCAGCAAATTCTGCCGAGACCACATTCCTCATAACAAGCACTGCTGAGTCATGGCCTGATACTGAACCAGCTGAGGTTTCTGAGAAATTGCAATCCCAATCTAGTGTCTCCTGGGCAGGTGTGACTGTGACAAAGTCCATGTCAGAGAGATGATGTGCAGATCTGCTTAAGTGCAGATGCAGATCCGTGAGTTACTTATGTATGCACAGCCACACAGCCCACAGTGGCTCTGCCCCAAAAGGCAGACTTTGGATAGCAATAGGATAGGAGTCACAAACAAGCCAGCATCACCCCAGTGACTCTCACCCAACCCCCTTTCAAACTGCCAAAAGAGCTCTTCAGACCAGGAGCTGTTCACAAACAGGTCAATCACATTTCCTGAGCAAATGGATCAAAAGCTGCTGATAGATCAAACTATCTGCCTGGGGTTTTGTCCTCTCTTTGGTCACCTCTAGGAGCTGCTCATCCCCTAATAGAACTAGAGTCTGTGAGCCTCAGTCAGCCTGGGAGAGCATGAAGAAATGCAAGAATGGGAAGTAGAAGCAATGTGAAGTTAGGGCTGCCCCATGACAATCTTGCCAATCACTGTATGAAGAAGGGAAAGGTTAGAGACAGGACAGCACTCAAAATGCAGATCCATGAGAAAAAGGATGGGATGGTGGCACCTCGCTTAAAGAAAGCTTGCTTCATGTTTTACCACTGCCATGACTACATGCTGGGACACCTACCTGTAGAGCACCAAACCTCCCTACAATCTCAGGCAGCAAGATAGGGACAGAGTTGATGAAGTAGAATTTCTTAGCCTTATCCTCAGACCTTGGACCAAGCATTTTAAAATGCTTCAGGCAGTTCTCATGCAATCCTTACTGTGAGTGCACATTCTCTGCTGCCTGCAGTCCAGCCTGCACCTGCCAGATGAGATGCCTCTGAGGCATGGCACCAGGCAGAACTAGTCCACACTGCTGGGCAAACCAGACCCTGTAGCTCGTGAGTCCCACACGTTTGGAGAGGCAGGTCATGGTGGAAGTTGTCGCCTAAGATAGAGAAGAGCCTGCCTAAAATCACCAAGTGTCTGTTGGCCATTTCTGATGACAGAGGTATCTTCTAGCAAAATGTTAAGTCCTTA